GAAGACAATAAAGCCTCCACAAAAATAGCATTTTAAGTCTTGTGTGTGATTTATCCTGGCTTCATATGAGCAGAGGAAATCTCTGCTAGCTGCTAGGCTAATTCATACAATGTAAAATGCCATAGGCTTGTGCTAATAACGTTAGCATTTTGTATTTGTTTGGAAAATGTGTTTAGTATAGGACAGTTGTTTTGTCAGTGAACCTTGTGAGTTGTAATGGAGCCAAATTATGTGCCGTTACCTTTGTTAAATGTTGCTGTTGTCCCTGGCTTCATATGAGCAGAGGAAATCTCTGCTAGCTGCTAGGCTAATATATACAATGTAAAATGCCATAGGCTTGTGCTAATAATGTTAGCATGTTGTATTTGTGTGGAAAATGTGTCCAGATAAAGACAAGTGTTTGTCTGTGAATGCTGCGAGTTATAGTGAAGCTGATTTGTGTACTTGTGTTTGAAACTGTCTCTATTAAGCCATGTTTAATGTGTGTTTAATGTGTGTTTAATGCTCACAATGGTGTAGGCTACAGCGTAGCTTCAGACCACAGCTTAAGACAGCAAAAACAAAACTGGTGGTTTTTCAGTGAGTCATTGCTGCATTTCCAGATTTTACCATCAAAATCAGGTATTTCAAGCTAAAACAACACATTAACCACAATGTTGTTTGAACATAATATATAATAATGCACAAACGTTTGCATGAATGTACAATACCATTCTTTTTTTTTTTTACAGTTAGGTTGGATGGTCAATTTGAAAACTGATCGACAGTCAGGTAAAAGTCATTTGAAAATCTGCAGGAAAGTCTGGTCGTGGTTGAAGCCGTGCCAGCAGTGCAAGGAGCAAAAATTAGTATCTTCGGAAATCGCTGATCATATTAAATAAAAATGACCTCTGTTTGAAGTTACAGTCGGGTCTGATGTTGGTGTCCGTAATGTCGATAATTATCAAATGCCATGAGGAACTGAGTTATGGGACATGAAGGTGTAGGTGACCGATGTGGTGGTTATTGGAGAAGAAAATTTGCAGATGTGTTTTTTTATTATCATTATTATTATTATTTGTCAAGGTTTCCTTAAGGTGACAGACAATGTGACCTTACGGAGTCCATGTAACATTTGTTATTCAGAAATTGAGTGCCGTGTGTTCTTCTTTGTGGCTGCATTGTATTGCCCCTGTGTTTGGCTTTCAGTGAGATCCACCCCAAATTTTTAGGTGCATGTGAATCCTAAATTTGCACTGCTTCCTTACTGTACCATATACTGTATATGCTGTTTATCCCTGCTGTGCTGGTATGAAGCATTCTCCTTATTCTTTTTTTCCTCATCTTGCACATTTCCCGGCTCTCTCTGTCTTATAAACCTCTCCGCCTGCACAAACACACTCACACACAGTGCATATATAATTGCAGTGGAGCTCTCTTGTAATGTACTCTAAGGTCTCAGTGGGGATCTCCCTGTCAGGGTTTATAAAGAGGGATCTTTATCCTCGGCACACTCTAAGTGCTTTGTTGTTGTCACATCTTCAGTCTCTCGTGTGACACACACTTCTGTACGTCCAAACATGTAGCCTATATGTGACGAGCTCTCTATTTCTGTTCATTTCTCTCCTACATTTCACCGTCTCCGCTCTGCTGCTGCTCTCTAATTATCTTAATAACATAAAAACGCTGACCACAGTTTGTTGGATTCCTGCTGTTTTTAACGACGTGCTAACTCCAGCTGATTGACACCACTTAGGAAATGATGTTTTCTGCACACACACACACAGCAGACCAGGAAAGTCTGTGGTGAAAGATCCAAATTAAGAGTTTTTTCTTTTTCATAGTGAGTTCATTACGAATCTCCGAGCGACTGCCAAGAAGAGTAAATGAATCTAAAATGAATACGCTTGTGCAGACTCATTAGCCATGTGTGCTCATTATGAAACAAAACCGAACTTGCTCTGTGCATTTCTATCATACACTTTATTTATGACTTATTCATACACAGTCGTGTGAGCATCGGCCAATACGGAGCACTTAATACTGTGGGAAGAATTAAAGGCCGAAGAGGCAATAACAGTAAACACACTAATTAGATTACACTGTTCAGTTTCACACAGAGTGGCGCTGAGAGGATTACTTTTGATCTTTATCCTCACAGAAACCACTTTATTCAGCACAGTTTGCAGTCTTTCAGCTCCGCTAAAATTACTCACAAGGGCTGGAGCTGTCGTGACTCATGGCTGCAGGAATTTGCATTTCTACCTTGTGTTGCTTCCTGATGCACCGTCATGTATCATGGATGAACACATACTGCAAATGAATGGAGAAAGTGAGGGCTGACACCAGCAGCTGGAACAGCGTCAGTGCTCCAGAAGCATTTAATGACACGTTTAATTTGGGATACACTTTCAGGCAGACTCACAAAGAGCAACATGAACTTCCAACTGTTATTTCCACCGTCTCAAAATCCCATTCACAAAAGATATTCCACGCATGAAGCTCAGCGTGAGCTCAATCAGGAAGTCTCTCTCTCTGCTACACTGTTAAAAAAATGCAATGGTCACAGTCTAACAGGAAGTCAGTGAAACTTCAGGGATATCAATGTGTCCATTTAGGAAGCACAAGTGATTGTGAATCAGTTTCAGCTGCTTTGGTGCAAATCAAAGTGACAACAGGTGCAATGGAGAGGCAAAAGCAAGACAACCGCCACAAAGGGAATGGTTTTACATGTGGTGTCCACAGACAGTTGCTCTCTCCTTATCCTTAAACTGAGGAGTGGTAAAATTAACCTATACTAGTCCATACCCATTGGAACAGCATACCATAACATGACTTAGTCATACCAAAAATTAGAAAAAAAAAACCAACAACATTGGTCCACAGGGGGAGCCACAGCGATCGGTCGCATTTTAGCCATTTTGAAGCATTTTTCTGTTGTTATAGCGCCACCCAGTTGCCAATTAGAGTTAAATTTCTCCAGTCACCTTGAGGCGTCCTGTTCTACATATCTACCAAGTTTAGTAAAAATCCATATGGCGGTTAGGCCTAGATAAGAAATCAGCTCTCTAGCGCCCCCATTTTGTTTGATGGGGTCAATAATGGAGGGGTCCCCTCAGATTATGTGTGGTTATATGCCTACAAAGTTGCGTGGTGATGGGTGAAACCCTTGAGATGTTATACACCTTTATGTGATGAGCCACGCCCTCCGCAATATTCATTGCCTTATAGAAGCTCAGTTTTAGTAAGTTTTCCAACTTTTGCCAAGAGGGAACTTTAGATATTGGTCCCTAGATTATGTTCACCCAGTTTCATGCAGATCGCTCAAACTTCCTAGGAAGAGATCCATTTGAAGTGTTTTTCAAAAAATTCAAAATGGCGGAAAATCTATATAAGCGGAAGTTATGGGTTCTTGAGGCAAATGTGTTCCTCATGAGGAGAGGCATCTCTGTGCAAAGTTTCATGTCTCTACGACATACGGGGCATGAGATATGCCCATTCAAAGTTTGACATTTCAATGGGTTGCTATAGCGCCCCCCTTTGGCCAATTGATGTAATATTGCTTCATTGGCATCCTCCCATGACCCTCTACCACTGTGCCAAATTTCACATGGATTGACCAAGTCAGTGAGGAGAAAAACGTGGAACACACACACACACAGAGTTTTCATCATTATATAGTGAGATGTGGACGTGTGTAACTGGTCAGAAATATTCTCAACAGTTAATTGATTAAAGTTTAGTGGTTAACTGCGAGCACAGCCCAATCAGGAAGTGCACCTTGATGTTTGCTATTCAATTTCCAATCGGCAAGTGAGTCTATGAGACTTGTGTGTCTGAGGGAAAGAGTGAGTCAGTAAAATCACAGTGTGATCAGACAATTTGTGTCACCTTGGCGAGACACCTGCCGCGCTGCAGACCACAGCTTGAGACCAACAAAACTGGTGTTTTTTTAGTGAGTCATTGCTGCATTTCTAGCCAGGATTTTACCATCAATACCGGCTATTTTAGGCCAAATCACAATCCTTACCTTCCTGTTTTTGTGCCTAAACATAACAACATGTTGGCCATAATGTTGTCTGACCATAAGGAAACATAATGTTTTAACATATCCTCTGCATAATAACGTACAAAACGTGCCAAAATTTCTTGAGAATTTATCAGCAGTCAGGTAAAAGCCTCCTCTCTCTCCTCTCCTTATCCTCCTGACCGATTCTTCTCTTGTTTGGTCTTCTGCTAGTGTCCTTGTCACTATTGGTAGCATGAGGCCGTACCTGCAGCCCAATCAGGTAGTTCAGCTCCTCCAGGATACCAGGAGACCGGCCGTTACACCAGGAGAGCTGGACAGGGCCGTAGAAGGGCATCAACCCAGCAGCAGGACCGCTATCTGCTCCTTTGTGTGAGGAGGAACAGGAGGAGCACTGCCAGAGCCCTACACAATGACCTCCAGCAGGCTACTGGTGTGCATGTTTCTGACCACACTGTCAGAAACTTTGATTTGATATGTATGAAATGTAAAAATGTAACATATCTGTGGTTTGCAGAAACATAAAATGCCACACTCACTCATTCATTCTGTATTTGTCACCTATTTGTTTCTCATCAGCAGTAAACTTCATCCTAAAGGACATTATCTGATTTTACATTGTGAACCTGTTCTCCAGTTTGCCTGCAGGGCCTTTAAACCTTCAGTCACACAGCAACACCAGACTGTGAGGACGTGGCCGCAGTTCTCCATTTCATGTTTGTTTGTTTGTTTGAAGCAGTACGTCACGAACAAGTGCTGCTCACAGTCACGTAGACACATACTGCACACATGCAAGGCTTTTAATAACATTAATACTCTAAAACACACCATGCTGAACTTTAGCTGAGTGTTATCTGGGCTAATCCCTCTGCTTTTAATACTATCATGATAACACAGCTTTTATATGAATGGGACCAGGAGAGGAGTGGAGGAGAGGGTGGATGAAGAGGAGAAGATGAGGACAGAAGGGAAGGAGTAAGGGAGAGTCACTCACCCGTCTGTATCCTGGAAGTTGACATTCACTTTCTTTGCAGAACCGAGGAGCTCTGAAACACAAAGAAAGTGGAACGTTAAGATTTTGCAGCATGTAAGTGATAGTTGATGTTTTTGTATGTAACACAGCAATACAGGTGTTTTATCTAATGTTGACAGCATCATTCTATTCTATTGGAGGGGTATTTCTTTTATCTTCAAGCAAAAATAATAATAATTTTCACGCATTTGTTCCTCATTTGCCCAGAATAGAAGACTCATTATTATGAGTCATGTTGCGTCATATTTCCTTGAGTTCAGGCCCTCATGGAGATCATATCTGTCTCTCAGTGTGAGAGACCACATCACTCAGAGCATGCTCACTACTGTGCAGAATTCACAATCAAAACCAAGCCACAGAAAATTCAATAAAACCATACGAACTGTTCACCTAGCTTATACTGTAAATATTGGGACTGGGTGATTTAATGACTATTTATACAACAGTTAGTTCCGGCCCTGCAATCTGATTGGTCGAGAGACAGTAAAACTGTGATGATATTGGAGTACAACATCACGGTTATTTCACTGTGTATGTATCACTCCGCCTCACAGCTGATTGCAATCAACAATCAATCAGCGCTGCATCCCTGGAAAAGTATTTAAACAAACTTCCACCAGATGCAAATGCCTTTTACCTGAAGCCCAGGATGACAGCAGCTCATACAGACAATATCTGGTACACTAAAGCTCCGCTGGGAATAAACTCACTTGCACAGATGCTGCCGAAGATGTGTAAAGAGGCGGGGACAACAGCTATCTACACCAATCACAGCCTCAGGGCGACTGCCACTGTCAGAGTCGGGTCCTAAATATACCTTTTGTCTTGCCGGTCTGAGAGCTTGTTAAAAAGCTACTGGAAGCCATCCATGGAGAGCAGGAAACGACGGAGCAACATACTGTCAGATCAGAAGGCAGAGTCGGCTGTGCCTGTGAAGCAACAGTCCACCATGCAGTCACCAGAGACTTATTTCACCGGCTGCACAATTAATGGAAATATGCAGATAAATGTGTATAAAGAGTAAGTGCCTGGCGCACCATGTCTGCGTTACATAGCAACGGTGACAGCGGAGTCCTGAGGGAACTATTTTTGTTGGCGGAAGACAAATAAAATGCTTAAATTATCTATTTTGTCCTCATTTTTCAACATTTCTTAATCAGCCATGCTTATTTAACTGTTGAACTGTTGTATAAAAGCAATATCACACTCGAGCTCGTGATGTTGTACTCGTATATCGTCATGGCTGTGATTGTCTTTGACCGAATCACAGCCGTGACGATATACGAGTATAACATCACAAGCTCGAGTGTGATATTGTTTATAGGGATAGACCGATATGGATTTTTTAGGGCCGATGCCGATACTGATTTTTTTCCATCACCCTTAGCCGATGACCGATTATGGACTGCCGATTTTCTTGAGCCGATATTTGGGGCCGATACTGCTTTTGCTCCCTCAATTTACATCAAAAAAATGACACAATGATAACAAATATTACAGGTCTCAAGTTTAAAATAAGAAACATTTATTGAACAGCAAAAAATACTAAAACAAGATGGAAAGATGAGGTAGAACAGGTAGAATATTATTATTATTATTATTATTATTAATTCAAATAAAAAAAGAGTTCAGTGCTCTTAAATCTTCCAGTAATGTCTTTATAAAATAAACAAATATTTAAGCTGAAGCATAAATAAAACAACAACTACTGTACACAGTAGGATTCGCTGCATGTGCGCTGCAGGGTCTTCCGGCAACACAGAGCTGCCCGTGGATGCCTGTCTGTAAATCATGCCAGGGAAAAATAAATCCGCGAACCCACACGCGTATCGGCCGATGCCGATACAAGTAAAAAACTCAAATATCGGCCCGATATATTGGCTGGCCGATCTATCGGTCTATCCTTAATTGTTTAAGTATGAAATATTAATATATTTTCAAGTACGGCTGCCCTCTAATAGTCGGCAAGATTTCATTGGTCCTATCATCTGAAACATAGAAGTAGCTACATGCCCATTAGCCCACAGCGTCATTAACAGGCGGCTCGCTCAGTGTGTGACGTGCACTTGGAGATAAAATACAGGCCTATATTAATGAAGGTTCATTAGTACGGTTTGCTTTGACTTGCAGCTGAAAACATGCAGCACATTTCATAGAAAATACCGAGACATATATCGTGTATTGCCAGTCAGCCTGTAAATACCAAGATATGAATTTTTTGCACGTCACCCAACGCCATGTCTGGACACACAAATCTGATCCGATCACATGCAAAGAACAGTGCAGACAGTTTGTCTCAAAGATCTGACTGGAGATATAAATGTGATTTGTCTTCAGTCTGAACGAAGCCTCAGTGTCTCTACAGCTTCTAGAGGAACTAAGGTCCAACATTTCCCCTCCAAACAATCGCACTGTCACGTACGAGTGTTCAGAGGTGTCTGCAAAGTGTCAGCAGACGCGACTGTAGAAATCCAATCGGAATCGTTCATTTTAAACCACCTCCACATGTGGTTTGGATCTCAGTTGAAGAGGAATTCAATTTTTTGCCATTTTTTTTTGCTGTCCAGACTTTTTAAAATCCATCTGGGTAAAATCAGAATGTGCCAAAAAAAAAAAAAAATGAATTCAGGCTGGCAGTCTGAACGAGGCCTTATTTACAGGTAGAGGAAGTCAGAACACAGCCTTCATCTACTTCTATTTTCTACCCTTTGTTTTTATGTCTAATGTCAGCTGATGATGCAGAACCGAGGCACAGCCAAGATGAGTCTGTGCTTTCTGTTTCTACACACACACACACACACACAGTCCCTCCAGGGTGCAGGAAACAGGACAGTCCCTCTATTGTAGAGGAGACAGCTCCCAGCGCCACTGGCAGAGGAACATTGATTTCCTAACAGGCTATTTCTGGCCGCTAAATGCAGGGATTCACTCACACACACACACACACACACACACACACACACACACAGATCGAGAGCTTTCAAAGCCACTATCTACATCCTCTGTCTGTGTGCTTCTTGCTGTGAGAGGGTGGAACACACTGGAACCTGATATGCATCCACTAACATGCATTAATACGAAGGTGTGGTGAAGTTTTGTGTCAACAGGAAGTAAAGTTCAGAGGTCAGAGAAATGTTCGAAGAGAGAAGAGAGACAAGGAGGGAACAAACAGAAGCTTTAAAGATCTTCGGCAGCGTCGATAAGCTCCATACAATGACTGGCTTCTTCCCAAATAACACGTGCACACACACTAGTCTTTGTTCGCAGAGCTCCACATGTGTCCAGCAGCCGTTAACCATGACCTTTTCACTCCATAATGTCATGAGACCGTCAGACGTGACCCCTGGTCATATGTTGCCCTGTTATGTGACAGGAAAATAGACACACCCACTGAAGAGGATGAAAATCCCCTCGTTTATTCTGATGGTGTCTTTGACCTCTGTGAGAAAAAACTTCACTCTGAGTGATTCTTGGATTCATTTTCTCTTTAGTTATTTCGGTGGGTGCACTTTGACTCACGCTGCCTCATCTGTATCATTCCTACATTTCCCAAAATGCCTTTTTAACAACAAGAAAATGTGCCTGAATGTGTTGGACTGGTTGCTTAGCTACGAGGAGCAGTTGCAATAGTAATCCTGACAGGATTACTGCTGCAGCAACATATCATCGAATGCACATGATGGTTACGTACGTGATACAGTGCTAACAGACTGAGGCTACAGCTGCAGGTCGCAGGCAAAAGGTCCTCATCATTTAATGATCTATGTGGACGACATGGAAATAAATGGAGTCTAAACTCACAGTAATAACTAACACATGATGGCTCATTAATTATTAATGATGTTTCTTTCAGACAGCGACTGCATAAGTAGGACAACCAGCAGTGGCACTTATATTTATCTGCTGCAACATGCAATATTACAACTGGAGGAGCAGAGTCCATTTGTTCAAACCAGCATAATAATAAGCTTCAAACAGTCCTGTGTGCAGTGTGTGTGTGTGCAGGGGAGAGTCAATACCTTCACTGTTCTCAGGGAGGGCTTCAACTAATGATTATTTTCATTGCTGACTGATCTCTCAGTTACTTTCTTGATTAATCAATAAGTTGTTTGTCTATAAAGTGCCAGAAAATGGTACAAAAAAAATTAAAGAGGCAATAGATAGCATCTTTTCCTAAATATATCATTATGAAAATAATGTGGGTTGCACAGGGCAGTGGCCACAGTAAAATGAGACTATCAGCGTTTACATAGGTTACTTAGTGGCTGTGCAATAAGCGTCTGCCACCGGTGCCGAAATTTTGCGGAAACAATCTGCTTTACAGCAGGAAATGCGTCACGTATTGCGAAACTGGTCAGTCAGCCAATCAGGGACTGGAGCTGGTCCTTATGAGGAGTTGGGCATGAGATAGTTGAGTCACGAGCACAATAACAGACGGACAAAGTTTGGAGACAAGTGAAAAACGGCCTAGCAAAAGAAAAGGAGCTCCTCTGTGTGAGGAGGCAAAGAAGAGCAAAAAGGAGAGTGATAAAAGAAGAGGAAAAACAAGAGTAAACCTCAGTCAGGCGTTCAAGAGATGGAGGGAGCTCCGTGACCAAAGAGGCTTCAAAACCCATGTCCAGCTAGCTTTCTTTCTAATGGATCAGTAAGTAACACGGCTAAATGTTAGCTAGACCAGAGAGGACTGTACTGTACTGGCTGCTAGTTCATTCCTAGCTGGCCAGCATCGCAAATCGCCGCAACCAGGGAGCGGGTAGCGATTGTTGGTCGGCTGACATCCTGGTTGCCATTCTACGGCAGCCCTTGGACAGTGATACCCCCCTCCCTTCCTTCTGTTCTCTTCTCACGGAGGCAGCTATCCACGGACATCGCCCAGCTAAGTTACGCCCAGCTAAGTGAACACTGGACTTTGTTTCCCATTCAATTTGAGCTCCAACCGGCCGCATGGTTTCCATACGGTAGCGTTTATTCTAGAATGGGGACTGTTTACATGTGCATATTGGTATAATTCCA